CTGGAAGGTCACATGAGCTGGCGGGCATCCTAAGATGAGACGCGTGGCCGTGGAATTTGGTCCGTGGATCAGCCACGGCCCCCCCGGCATCCTTGCCTGTCCCCTCGGGGCTGTCGGGGCTTTTGCGCGGGGGTGCTGAGGGGCCTCGACGGGACTGGGTCTAGGGTCCAGCGCCGCTGCAAACGGGCTGAAGACCTGAAGAGGACACTCCAGAGTGACCTCTGTCCCGGCCCGTTTTTTCTGCTTGGCGTCGAAGAGGAGGGGCGGCTGCCGCCGAGGTCCCACAGGACGGTCCCACCCGCTTGCTGGCGACGGCTCGGCGGCCCCCTGCTTGCCCTCCTCCGCCAGGGCGGCGTTCGCCGTGAATTGTCCTACTGGCCTGGTCGGCCTCCGTCCTCCAGCGCAGCAGGCGAACGAAGACCTCGCGCGACCCCCACGTGACCCTGCCCAAGTCCCAAGGCTCGCGCGGGCCGCTGCGCCGTGCCTGATGTCAGACAAATACCCAAAACGAAAACTATTAAAGAAACCCGGTGAATTTGTTGCGCCAGGGGGCCTTCCTGAAGAGTTTGGGAAGGAAGTCTGGGGACCAGCGCGGGGTAGGTCATCGCTTGCGCTGGGGCGCCGTCAGAAATCTTTGGGGGCCACAGAAAGTTAGCTGCATGATTACAAGTGGTTCCATGCTCTGGCGACTAGAGATCGCTGGAGTGCAGGCGACGCTGCCGACGCGGGCTACCGCGCGCCCGAAGTGCGTGGCATGCGCGGAGAGCCACGCGACGGCACATTTCATGGGTTTCTCCGGCGTCCGCGCGCGCAGGCGGAGAGGTGCCGTTTTTTTCCCGAAATAGCTTCAGGAGGAGGCCCCCAGTTCGGCGCCCGACAGCGCCCCGAGATTGTTCTCTGTCTGCACGGAGCTTCCGACCATCGTGGAGGTTCGGCCCATCCCCCGCTGACCAGGGCCAGGCTTGCTCACGGAGGCTTTGCCAGACCCACCAGTTGCAGCTGCTTCTCCCCCTTCACTGCTGGCCAGGGCTCGGAAGGCGCATCTTTACAGATGGCTCTTGCCACTGGCACGCCACCATAGGTGTGCCTCGTTCCTTTTCGGGCTGCTGCGATGTCTGAACCGGGGGAAGGCCTCGGAGTACTCATAACTCCTTGGGCTCCGCGGCCCCAGGCCCCCAAAAGCGCCGAGTGCGGGGCGCCTGCCTGCCTTGCGGGAGGAGGAGGAGGAGGAGGAGGAGGAGGAGGAGGAGCAGGAGCAGGAGCAGGAGCAGGAGCAGGAGCAGGAACAGGGGGAGGAGGAGCAGGGCGAGGAGGAGGAGGAGGAGGAGGAGGTATGCCTGGTCGGGGCACTTCAGGTGCAGCTCACGCGCGCCCTGACCGCGTCAATGCTGCGTTGCCGGCCGATCCAGGGCCAAGCGAGGCGGCGCTGACGCTGTCGCAGCCAGGCGCCAGCACGGTGGCCAAGCCACTCGGGCCAGGCATCATTTCCAGTCGCGCGCTGTTTCCTTGCGTGGAGGTGGATGTCCACCGTGGCCCCGATGAGGAGGGCATCTCCCAGCGCGAGCGCTTGGTTGCCACTGTGAAACAACGATGCTGACATCGCGGCGACGGAGTGGCCCAACAGCATCCTAAGATGGATCCCTCCGAGAACGACGATCTGCAGTGTAAACAGCCAGCCCCTGTGTCTGGTACTGCAGCTCCTGCCGCTGTGGCCGACGCTGGAGTTTCGTCGCCTGGCCCGCGCTGCTCGGAGGCAGGCTTCTGATGTTTCGTCCATGGAGGTCTGCCACGACTGGGCCTAGACGGGTTCTGGTTGGCGCTGCAGGGTTTGTTTCAGGGCTCCCCGCGCGAAATCCAAGCCGATCGGTGGGCTGTGTTCGGGGAGGTCCCGTCTGGGCGAAGGCGTGCTCGGGGAAGTCCCGTCTGGGCAAAGAACCCTCGTGCCATTGCGCTTCACTACAGTATTCTCAGACAAGCTCCGCCTGTTCCTGTGCAGGCCGCGCAGCTTTCATAGCGTAGAAGAGTCAAGGCAAAGGCCTGGACAGCAAATGCCGCCCACCCACTTTGACGGGCACGAAGAACTTAAGCCGTTTCCGTAAAGGCCAGCTTCCTGTTACAATTGTGGTGTCAGTTGTTGTTGGGGAATGCATCCCACTAGTGCACTTACAGGCGAGAATGCTTTCATTGCTGCTGTAGTGCGCCTCTGCCTGCAATATTTGCGACTTTGTTCGGTGGCACGGGGCGCTGCTGCCAAAAAAAGCGGATGAGAGTCAGGAGGGAAATTAGGAGCAGGAGAGGAGGAGAAGGAGGAGGATGAGGACGAGGAGGATGAGGGGGAGGGGGAGGAGGGGGGAGGAGGAACGGGAATCAGGGGGAGGGAGGGGCTGGAGGCGGAGTTGGCGATCAGGAGGAGCAGCAGCCAGAGCAGGCGTAAACTTATCCTTGCGAAATACCCAACGAGATGTAATCGTGAGTACCTCGTTGCGGGTACCGACCGCTTTCGGTGGAGGGGTGCGCCGAAACGAGCGCTGCGGTGCCGTGCGAGCGGGAGCGCAGTTACCGAGGCTTTCGGGGGAGCTCCCTTTTAGGCCACGAAACGTGCGATGGGTGTGCAGATACCGGCGGCGCGGTGGTGCCATGCGGGCGCTGCCGCTGGGGCTGTCGGTGGAGGTCCCGATGGGACTGCGAAACGTGCGACGGATGAGCCGTAAACGGTGGTGCATACGAGCGCAGCAGTTGGGGCCCTCGGCGGAGGTCCTTACAAGGGCGTGTGTTGCAATGGATGCCATGGCGCCATTTGTAAAGCGCAACCATTGGGGCCTTTTGTAAAGCGCGGTATAAGGGGCAGGTCACGTGTATATGGTGCGCCGAAGCGGTAGTGCCATGCGAGCGCAGTTATTGGGGCTTTCGGTGGAGCTCCCTTTGGGACCAAGAAACGTGTGAGGGGTGTGCCGAAGCGGATGCGGTGGTGCCTTGCGAGCGCAGCCATTGTGGCCGTCGGTGGAGCTCCGTATGGGGCCACGAAACATGTGGCGGGTGTGCCGAAACGGGCGTGGGGGTGCCATGCGAGCGCAGCCATTGTGGTTTTCCGTGGTTGGGGCCACGAAGCGTACGAGGGGTATACCGAAACGGGGGGGCGGTGGTGCCATGCGAGCGCAGCCATGTGGACCTTTGGTGGAACTCCCCATGGGGCCACGAAACGTGTGAGCGGTGCGCCGAAACAGAGACATGCGGAGGGCCGAGGCAGTGATGGGAGGAGGCAGGTTGAGGAAGGAATATTGATGAGTGAGGGACGCGGGGCGCTGTCTCTTCAAAAGGAGAACCCAACACCACAGGAACAACACAAACAACGAATACCCGAAAGTTGGGTTGGGTCTGGTTTCTTCGCCTATCCAGGCTAAAGACCCAACTATATGTAATCGTGAGTACCGCGTTGTGGGTACCGACAGATTTCTGTGGAGCTCCCTCTGGAGCCACGAAACGTGTGAGGGGGTGTGCCGCAAGTGGGCGCGATGGTGCCATGCGAGCGCTGCCACTGGGGCCTTCGGTCGAGCCCTTTTTTACGGGGCCGCGAAACGTGCGAGGGGTGTGCCGAAACGGGAGCGGCGGTGCCATGCGGGCGTTGCTATCGGGGCGTTATGTGGAGCTCCCTATTCGGCCACGAAGCGTGCGAAGAGTGTGCCGACTTGGGCGTGGTGGTGCCATGCGGGCGCTGCCACTGGGGCTTTCGGTGCAGCTCACTATGGGGCCACGAAACGTGTGACGGGTGTGCCGAAACGGGCGTGGTGGTGTCATGCGATCGCCGCCACTGAGGCTTTCGGTGGAGCTCCCCATGGTGCAACGAGTGAGGGGTGTGCCAGAATGGGCGCGGTGGTGCCCATTCTGGCAATCTGGCTTCTCTCCCTCCTCCTTCCCTCCTCCTCTTCGTCCTCCTCTTCCTCCTTTCCTTCTTTCGCTCTGGCGTACAACCGCCCGAATGTCCGCCCCGAGTTCCGGCCACGCTCGCAGGGCATACTTTTTGCGACTGGCGACCGTGGTCATTGGTGGATGTCATCGGTTGCTAATCCTTCATTACCATTGATGCGTGGAAAAACAACAACAAAAAAATAATGGGCGCGATGGTGCCATGCGGGCGCTGCCGCTGGGGCCTTCGGTGGAGTTCCGTATGGGGCCACGAAGCGCCGGCATGCGCGCGGCGGTGCCGTGCAAGCGCAGCCAGTGGGGCTTTCGCTGGAACTCCCGATGGGGCCCCGAAGCGTGTGAGAGGTGCCCCGAACTGGTCGCGGTGGTGCCATGCGGGCGCAGCTATTGGGACCTTCGGTTGACCTCCTGGCGGGGCCACGAAACGTGTGAGGGGTGTGCCGAAGCGGATGCGGTGGTGCCATGCGAGCGCAGCCACTGTGGCCTTCGGTGGAGCTCCCCATGGGGCCACGAACCGTGTGAGCGGTGCGCCGAAACAGAGACATGCAGAGGGCCGAAGCAGTGATGGGAGGAGGCAGTTTGAGGAAGGAGGAGTGAGGGGTGAGGATTGAGGAACGCGGAGCGCTGTCTCTTAAAAACGAGGACCCAACAGCACCGGATGGTTTGGAAAAAAAGCATAGACGCGAGTCCCCTCTGCTTCTCCTCGTCCGACCCCTCTGCCTCTACGTCCTCGTGAACGATCCCCCGCTGACCAGCAGGAGTATCCTCTCCCTCTTCTTCCACCCCCTGCTGCTCCTTTTTGCCCACCTGCTCCTCCCTGCCTGCTGATCTCGGGGGCGGAAAAGAGGGGGGTGATGACGAGGGGGGGGTGGATATTGTGGCGGGGGCCATGATATTTCCCCAGATTTCATGGCGCCGCTTCTTATTTCATTACGTCCCTGGCCCCCCCGCTGGGCCGCGCACATGCCGCCGGTCATGATTTGCACCCTCCCTCTTGGACACCCCCCCCTTGGCCGCTCCCGATGATCAGCCCCCTGCCCCCCCGCCCCCCCCCGCTGCGCTTTCCGCCCCACACACAGGGCGAGAAGACCTCGCTGCAGCAGCAGATCCTCGGCCTCCAGCGCCGCATCCAGGATGGCCAAGAGGGCGGGGGGGAAGGCACAGGCCCCCTCCGGCCCCTCCTCCTCCTCCTCCTCCTCCTCCTCCTCCTCCTCCTCCTCCTCCTCCTCCTCCTCCTCCTCCTCCTCTCCTCCTCCCCCCCCCCCTCCTCCTCCTCCTCCTCCTCCTCCTCCTCCTCCTCCTCCTCCTCCTCCTCCTCCCTCCTCCTCCTCCCCCTCCATCCAGCCCTTCCTCCTCCTCATCCTGCGTATCCTTCTCTTTCCTTTGGCTCCTCAGGTGCCTCTCTTCTCGTTCTGCTTGGAACTCCCCCTAGATTCCTAACATCCTCTGCAGCCCATCGTTCTCGCCCCAGCTCCCCCGTGAATCCTCTCTCTTGCGCAGTCTACCGCATCCGTGCTCCGTCATCCCTTCTCACCCGGCGCAGCCCTGCACCCACCGAGTTTGCCGTGGGCGGCGTGATGTATGGCGGGGGAGGAAGACGCGGAGGAGTAGGAGGACGACGACGAGGATGAGGAGGCGAGTACGGGTGGCGAGGACGACGACGATAATAATGAGAGAAGTAGGACGAGGAAGAGGACGCGTGTGGAGGCGAGCAAGAGGATCAGAAGGACGATGACGTGGAGGAGAGCTAGGAGAGGGGGATCACTAAATTAGCGCACTCCCTTGCCCGATTCTGTCCAGCTGTCTCCGTTTCTTCCCCCTTTCCTCCTCGCAGGAGGTTGAGGAGCACATGGGCGTGGATTGACCGTGCCCCCTTCAGCTATCGAATGGCCTTCGGCCTATCCCGCCACCGTGCCTGGGCTGTGAGTATGAAGCCTATTAGAGATTCGTTGTGATCTTGTGGGAGGCCTCCCGGGGGCCTCTTGGAGGCAGTTTGGAGGCGTCTTGGGGGCCGTTTTGGGGCCTCTAGTGGGCCGTTTTGGCGCATCTTGAAGCATCTGTCGGGCTTATTCGGCACCTCTCTTAGAGCCTCTTGGGGACCCCTTGAGGGTCTCTTGGGGGCCTCTTGGGCGCCTATTGGGGCCTCCTGGAGCCCTCTTGGGGCGGAAGGCTTGAATTTTCGATTCGTGGTCCTCCTCTTGGACCCCTTTTGTGGCCGTGCTGGGTCCCCTGGGCCCTCTTGGGCCGTCTTGGGCGCTTCTTGGGCCGGCCGTGCCAAGCGGGTAATGGACATAGCGAGGTACGAGCGATAGGGGCGAGGCGCGGGCGAAAAGACTAAAGGCCAGCTTCAATAGTACTTTGTCTAGTGAAACGGCTCCAGGGCGGCACCAACGGCTCGATTCCTCGTACGTTTCCGAATAAAACGGCTCAAGGGCCCCAAGACCGCCCAAGGCACCAAAACGGCCTCAGAGGGCACCAAGACGGCCCCAAGAGAGCCCCAAGAGGGCTCAAAGATGCTCTTGGGAGCACATTGTCGAGGGACACACGGGAAAATTGTTCGGGTGTCCAATACGTTGTCCCAGGCCCTGCCGGCTCCCAGGAGCGAAGGGTGCCATGAGCCATCTCGGGCCAGTTCTCGACGCGCGATTTCCGTTTCCGCGCCGGCCCAGGTCATAGAACGAGCGAGGTGCGAGCGATTACGTTTTTGGGGGGTGCAGCCCTCCAGGGAGGGGTTCCAGGGGAGGGGCGAGACGCGGGCGAAAAGTCGAATGGCCAGCTTCCCTCATAGTTTCTCTCCTCCTATTGCGAAGGCCTTACGGCCGTTGCCGCCGACCCTGAAGATGACGAAAGACAACACGAGGGGGGGGGCAGGAGGAGGAGGAGGAGGAGGAGGAGGAGGCGGAAGGGAGTAGGAGGAGGAAGGGTGAAGGGGGAGGAGGAGGAGGCCTTATGGATGTTGGTTGGGATCTCGTGGTTGACCTCTCGGGGGCGTCTGGAAGGCAACTTGAAGCCTCTTGGGGGCCGTTGTGGGGCCTCTTGGGGCCTCTTTTGGGCCTTTTGGGGCTTCCGGAGGCCGTCTTCGGCGCATCTTGGGGGCGTCTTGGCGCCGCTCGGGGGCCTCTTGGGGCCTTTTGGGGGCCTCTTGGGGCTTCCCGGGGGCCTCTTAGGGCGGAAGTCTCGAATTCTCGGTTCCTCGTCCCCCTCTTGGCCGTTTCTTGGGCCCGTCTTGGGGCCCTATTGGGCCGTCTTGGGCGCCTCTTAGGCTGTCCTGGGGCCTTCTTGGGCCGTCTTGGGGCCCTCTTGTAGGCCTCTTGGGGCGCTCTTGGGGGCCTCTTGGGGGCCTCTTGGGCCGTCTTGGAGTGTCGGAAAGCCGAAAAGGCGAGAAGGCCAAAATCCTTCAAAAACCTATGTAAAATTGACGATTTTGGCGCCTGGGGCCCTCTTGGGTGTGCTCTTGGGGCTCTCTTGGAGCGTCTTGAGGGCCTCTTGGGCCGTCTTCGGGCCGTCTTGGGCGTCTTGGGGCAATCGTTCGTCGAGTCGAGGCCCTCTTGTACCCTTTTGGGGGTGTCTTCTGTCGCTCTTGGCTCGTCTTGAAGCTTTTCTGAGCTCCGGGACCCCCCGGGGAGGATGCGTATCTGGGTGGCGACCCCCCCCGGGGACCCCCCCCGGCGACCCCCCCCGGCGACCCCCCCCCCACCCCCCCCCCCCCCGGCGGGGAGGGTAGGGAGGGGCTTCGCCACGACTCAACTACGACGTTGCTCAATGTCGCTTTGGCTCGCGCGCTCAAGGAGACGGGGAACGACGAAGACGACGAGGGACAACGGAGACGGAGACGACGAGGACACGACGGAGACGACGACGACGACGACGACGACGACGACGACGACGACGACGACGGTGATCCACGCAAGACGACGACACCGGGATGCGTCTTCCACACGCCGACAGGGTCGGCGGATTTGTTCGATGAAGCTGCCCAAGACCAAGAGACTCCCAAGAGGCCCCCAACACGGCCCAAGAGGGCCTCAAGACGGCCCAAGAGGCGCCCAAGACGGCCCAAGAGGGCCCAGAGACGGCCCCAAGAGGGGGACCACGAACCGAAAAGTCTAGCCTTTCGCCCCAAGACGCTCCCAGGAGGCCCCAAGAGCCCCCCAAGAAGCCCCAAGAGGCCCCCAAGAGGCGTCGCAAGAGGCCACCAGGAGGCCAAAATTATTGATTTCCTTTGGAAGAAGATACATTTGTAGCATATTCGGCTTTCACGGCGTTGAAGACGGTCCAAGAGGCCCCAAAGACCGCCCCAAGACGGCCCAAGAGGCTCCCAAGAGACCTCCAAAACCGCCCAAGAGGGCCTCAAGACGGACCAAGAGGCGCCCACGACGGCCCAAGGGGGCCCCAAGACGGCCCCAAGAGGGGGACCACGAACCGAACAGTCTAGCCTTTCGCCCCAAGAAGCTCCCAGGAGGCCCCCAGAGCCCCCCAAGAAGCCCCAAGAGGCCCCCAAGAGGTTCCCGAGAGGCTTCCAAAAGGGCTTTAAAAGGGTCCCAATAGGACTCCCAAGAAGGCCCAGAGACGCCAAATAAAGAGAGATCGGTAACGCAAAAAGCTCTTCACACCAAGGCTCCCAAGAGCGAACGGTGACGTAAACAAGCTGATAAGACCAAGGCTCCCAGCAGAGAGCGGTGACGTAACAAGTTCTTGACGCCAAGGCCCAGCCAAGGCTCAGGAACGGGCGGCAAGGCAACAATCTCTGAACACCAAGGCTCCCAAGAGCGAGGGGTGACGTAACAAGCTCTCAACGCCAAGGCTCCCAGTACGAACGGTGGTGTGAGTACGTTCGGTTTCTGTTTCTGAAGCACTCTTTCCGTTTCTGTGCCGGGCCAGGTCTAATGGTGTTCGGCCCATCCCGCCACCATGTTTGGGTTGTGGGTGAGTTCTCAGGGATGGTTCTTCGGGTCTCGTCGGAGCGCTCTCGGGGACCTCTTGGGAGCAGTTTGGAGGCCTCTTGGGAGCCTCTTGGAAGCCTCTTGGGGGCTTCTTGGGGCTCTCCAGGGCCTCGTGGGGACCCCTTGGGGCCTCCTGGGGGGGCCCTCGGGGCCGAGGGCTCGAAATGTCCGTTCGGGCCGTCTTTGGGCCCTCTTGGGCCGTCTGGGGTGCCTCTTGGGTCGTCTTGGGGCCCTGCCTCCTGGACCGTCTTGGGACCGGCGACGCGGAGCACTCGTGGGCCATCTTGGGGGTCTCTTTGGGCTCTCCCGGCCCGTCTTCAAGCCCTCCTGGGCCCGAAAAGTCATGCGACAAGCCGCGGGGAACCGCGACAAGCCCAAGAAGGTTTGCGAATTTGGGGGCCCAGGACCCTCAAAGACTCCTCAGGAGTGAGGATTGAGGCTCAGAGGCTTGGGCAAAGGACCTGAGGGCACGCCCACACCGTGCTCAGCGGCACGGTGGCGGACCGGCCTCTCTGGGGGACGTGCCGTCCACTTCGCGATGGCCCCGTGCATCACCGGCTCGTGGGGATGAAGTGCACCTCGACTCAGAGCCGAAGCCCGGGGCTCGTTGCGTCATGGTGCGCCTCTTTCTTCGTTCCGGACGTTTTGCCGCCACGCAGGAATCGGGGGCCAGAAGACGGCCCAAACATCAGCGTTCAGAGGTCCGCGCGGATTCCTCGGGTCGACGATGGCCCCCCCGTCCCCCCACGCCTGGCGGCGTCTCCAGCGTCGCTCCCAGCGTGCTCCGCGCGAGGAAGAGGCGCGGGGAGGGGGGCCCAGCGCTGTCCCAAGAACTCTGGCCAGACCTCTAACAGATGTGTGTTTCTGCCGTGGTCTGGTCCTCTCTGCAGGGGAGAGGTGAAGCACCTTGCCGATGAGCCCGTGATATATCGGGGGTGGACAGAACCCCCAACAGTGACACGTCGATTAGTGAATTGCCCGTTGTCGGTTCTCGAGAGGGCGCCGTGGCCGTTATTTTCCAGGCTCGCGCCCGCCAGGTTTGGGCCTCAGGTCGTTTTCACTAAACCACGTTTTACTAAAGGGGGGTCTGTCCATCCCCGAGTATAGCACTTCTTGTGGCGCGTGCAGGGGTGAATTGTTGCGCCCCGTCCGCGCCGGGACTGACGCCGAGCTCCGCCCTCGGGGCGCGCGCTCGCCTCTCGAAGAGCGCTGTTTGCTTGCTTGCTGCGGGGCAGAAAGGGACGCCCGCACGACGCTGCTGCGACGTGACGAGCGGGGCAGAGGCGGCGCACTGTTCGAGCACTCTGGGGGTCTGCACGTTTTTGGGGGGCAGGTTTCGGCCCAGGGCCTGGGGAGGAGGAGGAGGAGGAGGAGGACAACGACGAGGAGGAGCAGCAGCAGCCCTACGAGGAGATGGCGGTAGAGAACAAGGGCGAGGCAAAGGGCGAGGATGAGCAGCAGAAGCATGGGGGGGAGGAGGAGAGGGAGGAGGAGCAGGAGGAGGAGGAGGAGGAGGACGAGGACAGTTTATTCATATGTGTTCATATATATATATAGAGAGAGAGAGAGAGAGAGAGTTCCTGCCGCAGCACCCTTCGGCCACACGCATGCACGCAACGGGGCTCGCAGTGAAGCGGGATCCTTCTCGAGAGCGACCCACTGTTGGCGGAACCCTTGCCCACCCCCAGATATACACGTACACGGACATGCATGCATACATACACACATACGTGTTGCTATGCATATGTATATACACATATATATATGTGTGTAGCCCATACTCATTGCACAGATCTTTACATGTGTGTTATGCGTCGGTGTGTATACACAGATGTATGCATGCATGCACACATGTACCTGCATACATGTATGTATGCATGCATACAGACATGCACGCATGCAAACATGCATGCATGCATGC